GTCAACACACATGGCCTTCTCCAAGAAACCAGAAAGGAGAAGCTAAAAAATAAAGACCTTCCCCTAGAGCTAACAAAAAGAAAACTTCCCCTAGAGCCCACACTCTGAATTGAAACTTACAGCGTTATAACAATGAAAAATCAAATTTTGGTTCATTAAAGCTATCCACTTGTTGAATTTCTGTTATAGCATAATTATATAACTAAGACACCAGTCAAGAATCTATCTTACAGTAAAGATAATATAATTATAATGCTAAACAGTTATGATGGCACATCTGAATTGAAATTAAGATATTCTTAAATCTAGCAAGTATTTTTTTAATGAGCGTGTACATTTTTAAAAGCCCTGGAGCTAGTCTAGTATTAGATGTATTTCCCCGATGCTGTTGTTAAGTGCCATCGAGTCAGTTCTGACCCATAGTGACCCTGTATAGAACTTCCGAGGAGCTGCCGGTAAGCTTGAACCTCCGACCTTGTGGTTTAAATCAACTTTGCAGTCCAGTGCATTAACCCACAGTACCACACCAGGACTCCATAGGATTTATACACAAAACGGGTGAAATGTAAAGAGACAAAGGTGAGCAGAAGTGAAAGGCTCTGTCATGGGGCAAGCTAGATAATTAGAAAACAGCACACAGAAGTGATATTGATGTTGTTCAGACAAAAACATGCTACTAGAAAACTGGGCACCTTATCATAAAGATAGTACCCTAAATCCCCAAGCACTGTGCATTAAACTACACTAACAAAAAGGGTTTCGTGTTGCATGGAGTTTTAAGATTTCTATAAAAGTATTTATTCAACACATAATAACAGACTATTTTAAGGATAAGTGTAACTATTAGATCCTTTATATGCTGAAAATATATGTAGCTCTTTCTGTTTGAATCTTGAATCTTAAAGAAAAAAGAAGGTATGAAGAATAAATACTAAAACTATTACTATCTTCAAACTTTCCGTATGAGTTTAAAGAATCAATACTTTATGGGAGAGGGAAAACAAGAATATGGCCAAAAAGTTTAAATCATTATTATGTCTATATTCTCTCATATTTTTAATTTTTTATAACGTGCCTAAAAACACAAACACCAACTATATTGGAAACTCATTATTATAGCAAATATCCAGCAAATATTACTTTTAAAAAGGAGGACGGTAACAACCAGATTGCAAAAAGACCTTGTAATCATCTCTTCTAGTAAATGATGCAAAGCAAACTGGGAGGCCCTCACAACCTCCAGTGTCCAGCACCTACCATGTGTGCACTGCAATAATAACTGATGTTCAACAATTAGACATCAGTCAGTTCTTCAAATAATTATATTGTTTTGTGGTTATTAAAGTGCCATCAAGTCGATTCTGACACATAGCAACCCTGCATAGGGTTTCTGAGGCTTTTTAAATCTTTGCAGGAGCAGAGAGCCTCATCTTTCTCCCACGGAGCTGCTAGTGGGCTCAAACAACTGACCTTGTGATTCACAGTTCAGTGCTTACCCTAATGGAGCCAACATGCTTCCTATGAGAGATTAAATTACATTAATTTAGATTTAAAGTCAAGTTTACATATAGTGTTTTGTGTGATTTATATAAAATAAGCACGTTTTTGAAAGTCCACCTAAGCTGGATATTGTATTTTCCTTAGTGATATGACAATCTACTATGGTTAGCAATCAGGTCTGCTTATAAGTATATAAAACTAACAAGTAAAATTGAATAGATCTTTAGAAGGTTGATGAAACATTCTAAATAACTAGTTTAAATATTATTTCCAATTAAAACCGGGAAAATATCACTAAGAAAGAAACAGAAATGATGAAATTGTAAAACAAGGAAACAGAATTGTGGAAAAAGAACACAAGAAAACTGAAAGAAATAATGAATATGCATATCACCTAGATTTCTCTAAACTCAAACTGAGTGCATGTTAAATCTTTTCTAGTGGGCATACACTTCATTCCTTGAATGTCTCAAGTTAATTTTGACAGGATCCTTAATATCATGCACACAAAAACCATATTATAACTTTTGGTGTATTACTTGGTGTATATTAATGAAATTGTTCAACTTCTTAAATTTTTTCCTGCCTTTCAAAATATAAATTCACTGGTCTAGAAAAGGTCAACTTATTGCTAACTAAGAAAATGCTATAAAAAAATATTTTTAAAGAGAATAAAGAAAACTGAATAAGATCAAATGAGCTATGACCAACTGAAATATACATTAGCAATAATATACAATAGTAATTATCATGAGCACCATACTAATGATTCTAGCATTAACATACTGACCAGACTGTATGCCAACAATCGAATAAAGTTATCAATCTGCTGAAAAAACATGTAAAACATAAACATGCTAGTGGCCAATGCTTCAGCCAATATAGAAAATGTTATCTTTAGCTTAGAAGGTAAATTATTAGCACTTTCACATTCATATTAATGCTGTATATAATAGTTCTACATGCACTTGACATAATATGTATTATAATAATTTATAAGAAACACTTACTGGGTAAATTTTTTGGAGGGATGGAAGGATGGGTTCAGGTAGGGCTATAAAAACAAAAAGTTTAAAGCTTCCATGATTCACCAATCATTTACAAAACAATAATATGTCAGTTATATTCTAGGTATGAAACTGATATTAGGGTTTATGCTAAAATTCAACAGTTTTCATACACTTTAAAGAAATTAATTCTGATCCCTAATACTTCAAAATTTTAAATATAGCTCAGAAGATAATTTAAGGTTTCATTAGTAAGCGGAATATTCCTATGTAAACCAATAAAGGGATATACGTCATGTGGTCAGACATCAGACACACAAAATAAGCAAGACATGAAAAGTCCTACAGATTTTAAATGGGCACTGTTAAAATGGTATTTATTCAAAATTAAGTTTTAAAGTATAGTCCAATGACACTATAAAAGGACACCACTTCTATCATAATTGCTCTTTAATATTACATTTCTGCTATCTAACAATGCAAAAATGGATACTGTTCTAAGGAACTGATGTGTTAAGAAAAAAATAATCAATTTCACATTAATTTCAGACAAAGCAATCATTACCATCTTGTGCTATCACTATTTTTTAAATGTCATTCTCTTCATTGGTATTTTATGCAACCATAACTTCATTAAAATCATTAACAGTAAATATGCATCATTATAATATAAATACAGTAATATGAAAAGCAAAATGATCAATATTTACAATACAGAAATAATTGCAAAAGATAATGTCTTGCTTATGGGAAATAATATGTTTTCATATTATTTAGGAACATAAAATATACTATATAGAGTTAGATTAAATCAGTAACAAAAAAATCTTTAATTCACATTTTAATGCTATGTTTAGCAAAAACCAATCAACCATTATGATCAATTTTCATGGACTTCAATTGGTTTGAGAACGTAACTTTCTTCCATTTAGTACAGATTATTATTGATGTTGTTAAGTGCTGTCAAGTCAGTTCCGACCCATAGCGGCCCTGTATAGGGTTTCCAAGGAGCGGCTGGTGAGCTTGAACTGCCAGTCTTGCAGTTCAAATGGCTTTGCAGTCTGGCATATTAATTAACCCACAGCACCACACCAGGACTCCATAGTACAGATTAGGATGCTTTATTTAAATTTCTTTTCATTATCACACTTCATTTCCAAATTGGAGTAAAATAAAATTTCATGATAATCTAAGTATTCACAGTACATGACTCTAAAATATTAGGAGAAAACACTTCAAAACTCATTACTTACCAGAATTATTCTTAGGAAACAAAGGGGTATTTTCTCCCCCATGAGACATTCAAAATTCTAGAAGATTCTACAGTCCCAGTAGTTCCAAATCCCAGTCACGCGGTTCTTAGTATTTTCATAATATTTTAATGGTTTTTGAGTAATTTTGGTCATAAATAAGTGTAATTGGAAAAGTCTTAATTGAAATTGGTTGACTTAAAATATGAATTCTTTCCCATTTTATAACTCAGTAAATTAAACTATAATACAACAAATGATGAAAAGATTGGTGTTGTCAAGTGCTGTCGAGTAGGTGCCAACTCAGTGACGCTGTATATGGTTTTTTAATCCTAACTGGTGGGTTTGAACTGCTGACCTTGTAGTTAGCAGTCCAATGCTTACCCTATAGCACCACACAAGCACTAGGAGAAGAAAACTAATACTAACACCTGATTTAGATCTTTCATAAAGCCTCTAGAAAGAGGCAATTTAGAACATTCTAGAGGTATGGTATCTCTTAAAGACAGAACAAAACAAAACTACCATAGCACGTTATCAACAAATTTATAACTTGTTAAGTTGTTGTTAAGTGCCGTCGAGTCAGTTCCGACCCATAGCGACCCTGTACAGGATTTCCAAGGCTGTAAATCTTTATGGGAGCAGAAAGCCTCATCTTTCTCCCACAGAGCACCTGGTAGTTTCGAACTGCTGACCTTAAGGTTCACTGCCCAATTCGTAACCACTACGCTACCAGAGCTACCTTAGCCTATCATTAACTCTTAAGATTCTCAATAAAATCTCTTTCCAGTAGGTTTTTCTCAGCGGGTTCTCTTCAGAAATGTTTTCAAGCTCTAAGTAGTCTATTTTATATATATATATATATATATGAATTTCATCCTAAGAAATGTTTTAGTTTATCTTATGTATCTTTCTACAAAGAATCTGCTTTATTTCTCTGTTCAGACAGAAAATATTATAGCCATTTATAAGGTTATACAAAATGTTACAGTCATCTAAACCAACTATTCATGTTACAAATGAAACTATTATTAATGACTTGAACAAAATCACAAAAATTAGTTCTTCGTGGCAAAGCTGAAACTGTTCAATACACCTTCCAAACTTTTATACACGCTTTTCCTCATTGTAATTTGATACAATCTAGAAAACCAACCACTGATTTCCTTTCCATTCTTTCTAGAGAGGAGAAGTTTAATTTTTGTAGTTACACATTAGCTCTACCTAGCTGATGTCCTTCAACTAAGTCCTCTTAATTACAAATTACCTCAATAAAAAAGGACCTCTTTCTAAAGAATAAAATACTTAGCAAAACCTAAATTTTAACATGATTATATAACACTGACAATATACTAATGTTTGAATTTTCAAGTTGCTTGTAAAATTACTTTGGGATATAAGGAGCTCTGGTAGCGTAGTGGTTACGAATCGGGCTGCGAACCTTAAGGTCAGCGGTTCGAAACTACCAGCCGCTCCGCGGGAGAAAGATGAGGCTTTCTACTCCCGTAAAGATTTACACCCTCGGAAACCCTGTACAGGGTCGCTATGGGTCGGACCCGACTCGATGGCACTTAACAACAACAACAACATATGTGATTTTACAATTTTATAAAGAAGGCAATCAGATTTAAATGTTTTGTATAGCCAGTAAAAATGAGGAGACTGGACATATATATGGATGTTAAATGTTTTTGTCAAGTTTAATTCTTTAAGTCTCTACTAAAACTAAGGAGTCCTGGTGTAGTATTGTAGGACTCGATCATCACAAGGTCGGTATGAACCACAAGATCAGTAGTTCAAACTCACCAGCCACTCCTCAGAAACCCTATACAGGATCATTTTGAGTTAGAACTGACTTGATACCACTTAACAACAACTAAAACTAAAGCAAACAGATACTAGATAGTGTCACATTAGTGTCTGTCATATTCTTTGTATCTTTTAAAGATTTATCAAATTTTTCTCATTACTAACTCATAAAACTTAGGCCTATTTGAACTAAGTTTCTGTCAATAACTCAAATCTTTATCTAATTCTCATCTTGAAGTACAGAAAAGCATTAAAAAATCCCCACTGTCCACAAATATTCCCGGATAAATTTTTCTAAGTATCTGCTCAGTATCTGTATACATACAAATAGATAAACATAAATAAACAGCTTTTAATTAAAATTGGTATGCTGTATCTGTCTAACCTTATGAGTGCTTTCTTATATTATTAAATGTCTTTATAATATGATTACTAGTGGCTACTTAAATTTCTTATTATACTTATTTAACCACTGTCTCTATTTTTAAAAACTTAGATATTAAAAACTTTTGTATTTCAACAAACACTGATGAATTACAACATTGTTTTCAGAAGAATTACATCAATTCATACTCTCATCAGCAGTGTAAGATTATAATTGCATGTTATTGTTAAGTGCTTTTGAGTTGGGTCCTACTCATAGCAATTCTGAACAAGGTTTCCAAAGAGCAGCTGATAGGTTTGAACTACCAACTTTGTGGCTTGCAGTCCAGTGTAACTGGAAAGTCTTAATTGCAGTCCAGTACAGCACAATACTGCTGTAATTTTTTAATTTTGCCAACTAAGGATAACTAATCTTATATTTGTGCTGCATCATGCAAACATTTTTGCAACTTAACTTTTTATTAAAATGGGAATGTAGTTCAAGATTATATTCTCTGGCAAGCATTTAGAATACAGAAATTCAAAGTTGGCAGTTCAAGCTCACCAACTGCTCCTTGGAAACCCTATATAGGGTTGCTATATGGGTCAGAATCGACTCCAAGGCACTTAACAACAAAAACAACAACCTTTAGGTTCAAACTGACCTTGTGGTCCAATGCTATCAGTGTCACATCAGAACTCCATATAAATCTACTCTTTTCAAATTAAATACAAAAGCAAAAATTGCCTAACTTAGAGGGGAAGTCCACAACGGTGATAATTTAGAAAATAAAAATAATTTTATACATTGAGAGTTCGTTTATTGTTGTTGTTGTTAAGTGCCATTGAGTCAGTTCTAACCCACAGCAACCCTGAATAGGGTTTCTGAGGGGCAGCTGGTGAGATTTAACCACCAACCATGCGGTTCACACCAACTTTGCAGTCCAGCGTAATAAGCCGCAGCACCACACCAGGACTTCATAATGGCATAAAATTATACTGATCAGGATTGTTGTTGTTGTTGTTAAGTGCCATCGAGTCGGTTCCGACCCATAGCGACCCTGTACAGGGTTTCCGAGGGTGTAAATCTTTACGGGAATAGAAAGCCTCATCTTTCTCCCGCGAAGCGCGCTGGTAGTTTCAAACCGCTGACCTTAAGGTTCGCAGCCCGATTCGTAACCACTACGCTACCAGAGCTGTCCTTAAGTGTGAGGTTTTAGTTTTCCTTCTACTTTCGTGTTAATATGCACCATCTTTTAAGAAAGTAGCGTAGTAGCCAGTAATAGTTTTTCGGTTTTTGTTTTTGTTTTGATACGACAGAAACAACAATACTAAAGTCTAGGTTAGTTCCTTTCTTTGAATTTTAATATTCCAAGAAATCTAGAAGTCTGGGAGACAACGTCATATTGTTGTTAGGTTCACTTGAGCCCCAAGTGACAAAGTAGAACTGTGCACAGGATTCTTTATAGGCTGTAATTTTTGAGGGAACAGATCACCATGTCTCTCTCAAATGGAGTCACTGAGTTCAAACTGCCAAGCTTTCAGTTAACCGACTAGTGCTTAAATGCTATGCCAGCAAACCTCCATTAATACTGTCAAACCAAAATGTCAACTTTCTCTATTGA